AAGGTCACTAAGAAATGCTCATGGTCAAGATCTCCAAAACTTAGAAAAATGAAATTGTTGATTGGGTTTCCGCATACTGAAAGTAATTCTATTGAAGAAAGTAGTGTTGGATATCCAAGTAGGAATCATAACAAGCTTTAACACCTTGAAGATTATATTGTTGATATTGACAATAATGTGACCTGCATGACAGCCTACTGTTACTTATTAGTCGAGCACCTCAAGGTCGTGTAATAGTTAGCAAGCTTGTCTTGCTAGAAAAGTTATGACCGGGTAGTGAGTTCACTCCTCACTGGGTGCCCCTACTTTCGGCCTTGTGCCACATCTTAGCTACGCTTGGAAAATCGCTACTGTTACTTATTAGTTAACTCACTGTGAAGTCACTCATTGTGAAGTGGACATAAGGTATATAAGGACTGCAAAATTGGTTTACAATTTATACAGAATAAGTAGTAGTAGTAGTGCTTAATTTACATTCTGATAGTTACTTGACCACTCACCAGATCTGTTATATTGTAACACAGTTGTCACGATACTTGCAACTGGAATGAAGTTTGTTACTGAACTTGTAAGAATCCAGCCCTAAACATGACATATGAAGAAGCTATTATGTATGTTAATTCAAGTTATGCAGGATGTAATGAAAATAACACACATGAAATAGTCTCTACATTAGAAGATAGAACAGCAATGGAAGTGAATCACTGAATTTTCACAATTAAATCTAATAAAAATGGCAAGGAATATGTTTTATTGTGAAGGGATATTCCCAAATTCCTGGCATTAATTATCATGAGACATTTTCACCTACAGCATGCATTACATCCATGTTAGTATTAATGCAGTTAGCTATTCAGTAGTTGGATTGTTCACCAGATTGATGTTAAAATGGCTTATGTGCCAACTAATTGTGACTTGTACATGGAACAAACAAGTTCTGTAATTAGGCTCAAAAATGCTTCAAATTGGTATGTATACTAAAGTCATACAGTCTGAAACAAAGACAGAACTGGAAAACCGCATTGCACTCTTATTTGATTCATCAAGATCATTATCCAATCATTTACAAACACTTGTATCAATGCTAAACATGTTAGGGATAAATTATAATTATTGTTAATTGGGTTTGACTCTTATTACTACAACTGTAATTCTGCACTCACTAATGCAAAGATATACTTGCCATAAGTTCAAAATGAAGGACATAAAAAAAGTTACTTGTTTCCTTAATATATGAAGGTGATAGAAGTAAAATGAACTAGAACAGTTGAAAGGCAAATTTAGTTTGCAAGATTGTAAATCCAAACTCACTCACAGGAAGTGGACATAAATAAGGTATATAAGGACTGCAAAATTGGTTTACAATTTATACAGAATAAGTAGTAGTAGTAGTGCTTAATTTACATTCTGATAGTTACTTAACCACTCACCAGATCTGTTATATTGTAACAAAGTTGTCATGATACTTGCAACTGGAATGAAGTTTGTAAATGAACTTGTAAGAATCCAGCCCTAAACTTAATGTTTTATCTGTCTATATTTCTGAGATGAGGTATTATGTACACTATTTACATTATTCGGACTATTGTCCTCATCTTTGTCACCATATTTATTACGTTTTGGCCATTATACGCTCCAGCCTCCTTCTTCATAAGTGGCGACCCAGAGACATTAGATAAAGAATTGGTCAGTATAAGTAGTACCCTACAATGTAACAACTACCCTGGGTACATGGCAGCAGCCCCCAAAAACTGGGATAGGTGGGTACAAGAGGAGGACAACAACACTCAGAAAACAGTCTGCCTGCCTTATGTGAAGGGGTTATCAGAGAAAATACAAGGATCTGCAGGACAACCTTCAAAAGCTGGACGACTCTTCAGATATTTCTCCCAAGTAAGCCCCCCCCATATAGGAGAACATGACTAAAGACTGTGTGTGTGCTATCCTGTGCAGCTGCAGAAAGAAATATAAAGGAGAAACAGGCTGTCCCCTTAAGGTAAGGCTTCAAGAACACCAGAAAGCTGTAACATGAGGGGAAGTGGAAAAATCAAGAGGGGGCTGACCACATATGGAGAGAAAAGAGATCACCGCCCTCTGTGGGATCAGGTTGAAATCATAGACAAATAATACCATTGCAGAATTCGTAAACTTAAGGAATCAGCACATATGCTTGGCCACAAAAATCTAAGCCGACCAAGCATAGAAATGAATACAATATGGGAACCCGTAATAAGGAGTGCCAGAGAAAAGTAATAGTAACAACAAAAATTGCAATATGAGCTCTGGTAAAAACATGCATTGATAACAGCAAAATTGCAATATGAGAACTCGTAAAAAATGATTGCTGAAAACGTTAGGTTTATAATACCCAGAAATTCATACACAGATGTCCTCAAGGACACATGGCACAGTGGATAAAGGCGTTAGATCAAATGACAGGACCCAGTGTGAGTTCAATTCCTGGTTAAGGGGAATTAACAGGAGATAACTGACATCCATTAGACATGGCGTGTGGAACTAGAACAGTTTACCCCAGTTAGCGAAATAAAGGGTTCAGTTTGACATTCCAATCACCTAAAGAAGGCCGGAGCGTACAACAGCCAAAACATTAATAAATATGGCAACAAAGTTGAGGACAATAGTTCAAATAATGTAAATAGTGTTAATGTTTTATATTTAAATTATTGAGAATGTAATGTTTACCATAAGTGGGGGATATTGGAATATAAACATGTCTGATCATACATTCCTTAAATGTAAATAACATGCATGTAAATTTGAGTAAAATTATAAAGCTATTTTGAAATGTATGCTGTGTTTGATTATAATTCTAGAAATGTGGGTGTTTTTATATAATTATTGATGTTTCATTTATTGTCATGAAGTCTAACAAATTGTCACCAGTTCCAATATAAACATTTATTTTGCAACTATGTATAAAGTGCTAATTAACCTTTACTACATGAATTTCTTTCTTGAATTGTTCCCCTAGCCATATTTTTTATTTTTTTCTTAGTGCACAAAAACCTTAATACCTACCATTTTTAAAATTTTTATAACTTTCTTTGTATTGTGTGTATAGATTTTATTTTTTGTATACTGATAAAAGAATGGATGAGTAATATTTTGATGTAATGCATTATGTAATCCATTACATCTTGCATGCATGTTTTGATCTTTTAAAACAAATTGAAATACAAAATAAAAACAAATGCATTAACAATTTAACATTAACTTTTATTACTACTTGTGGAGTTCTGAGGTGCAATAAGAAGCAAAATAGCTAAAAAGGCTTTCATTTCATCAAGTGACATGCTTCCTCGTGTTTATATATGAGAAGACACCAGCTTTTGTTTGGTCTTTCTTTCACCTGACTAGCATATTTATTTCTTTTGTTGACAAATAAGGTTATTTTGTCATTTATGAATAGACAAAAGAAAGGCTATCAGGTACATCAATAGTAGCTTCCATAAAATTAGTCAGCCATGGATGATGGTAGTTACTAGTGGTTATCGTTTTCTGCCATGTAGTGATGAGTGGCTATCATCTTCGACTACTTCACCATCAATATCTACTTGAGCAAAGCCTTCAAAATCATCGTCGGAGTCTGAATCAAAGAAAAACTGAATAAAGGCTTTGTTGGATGTTGATATAGCCATTTTTTGTTTACAAAAATAAAAATAAAAAGTAATGTAGGTTTAATTGATGTTACACCTTGTGTAGTCTAGAAGAATTCAAGATAGTGCTGGAAAGCTGAAGTTTAGCCTTGCTCCAAAGCAGTAGTAGGTGATTTCCAGCTTAAAATACCGGAAATAACAGTTGACAAGTGTTTATTTATAACAACTGGCTCAAGGTGACAGAATGCGTCTAGAGCTGCAAAGGGAGAGAATTCTATGGTGACAGTTTTTGCCTGCAGTGTGGTAAAGGTTAATAATTGAATAGTAGTTTTTTTGTTCTGCAAATTAGAGATTGCACTCATTTGTGTTAGCTCACCTAATTTTGAACTTCAGTCCTCATTGGCCAGCTGCACTTCTATCACTACAAGTAGCTTAATGTTTTCTCCACTGTTGTTCTTGAATTATTCGATCTATTGCCAATTGCTTTAATTTAGATCTCTTTACTTGCATATGCAAATTTTTCTCTCTCCTCTCCCCCACCCCCACATTTTTTTTTTTTTTTTTTTTTTTTTTTTTTATTCAGATTCTCGTGCTTGGGAGGGTGGGGAAATATCACAGTCAACTGGCTATGACAAAAGGTGGGCATATCTGAAATACCCGGAATAGTATATGCTATGATTGGACTCATTGGTACCCAACCTACTTAATTAGTACAAAGCCTATTGGCAGGCAATCTGCTCGTGTTCAGTTATACAGGGTTTTGTAACCTTGTTGGAATGGCTCCACAGTCTTTTATGATAGAAAACAAATTCAAGCAACTTGCCTGCTTTCATTTTGTGAGACTTGGTAAATCATCAAGCCATTCACAATGTTTTGCTGGGCTTTTGACAAAGTTGAAGATAAGTTTTTTTTGTTTTTTTTGTTTTTTTTTATACAGCTGGTTGTGTATAAAGTTATGATGAGCATTAGAAAATATGAAAAATATTTAAACTCCTCCCTGAAAATTATTGCCCCCAAAATCTATCAGCTCTCTTACATGATTAGAATCTCTTATAAAGCTTGCCAAAAGATCCTCTAGAAAAACTGGAACAAGAATTGCATTGGGGCTCTTCAGGAGGACTATTTCCTTATTGCCTGCAGGGTTTTTGACATTTGAGAGAGGCACTAAGATTGCTTTGTATATATATTTTATATATTTGCTGGAATATCAGTGTACTATTTTACAAATTTTTTTTTTTTTTTTTTTTTCAGATTTCATAAATTAAAATATTAAAATTCGGTAACCATATTAATGATTAAAAATCTATTATTAGAAATAATTCTGATAACTGAGTATGTGTTTAGCTCTAAATGCTCTAAAATATTTTTATTTTCTTTTTGCAGATACATCACCCGCAGAACAGCAGGATCTGTTCATTAAAAAACTTCAACAATGTTGTCTAGTATTTGATTTTATGGACCCAGTGTCAGATTTAAAGAGTAAAGAGATCAAACGAGCATGTTTGAATGAACTTGTGGATTATATTACCGCTACAAGGGGAGTTCTTACTGAACCTGTCTATTCAGAAATTGTACGAATGGTAAGTTTATGAAGAAGAAAGCCAGTTTTAAATAAAACAAATCTTTGGGATTTTATTTAAAAATCTGTCTCATACTGCATAATTCTGAATACATGTAATTTTGTTTACCATACTGAAATATTTTAAAGTTAATTTGTTGATAATGGCAACAAATGCTATTAAGAATTTTTTTTACACCCATCACACCTTTTTTTTTTTTTTTTTTTTTTTTTTTTTTTTTTCTAACTCCTCTCAGTCATTGAATTCATCTTAAAAACCAGGTGAGATATGTTACTAAGGAGGCCTTTGTGGATTTTATAATGCCATAGCTACAATGGAATAAGGTTTGTATTGATTTCTACTAATTATATAGCAGTATGCTGTCTCTGGTGTTGCCATCTCAACAAAGTAATACAGGTGAGTGTGTACTCTCTTAACACTTTTTACATAATCCTCTTGTATTTGGTCACAAGAAAATAACAGGAAAATATTACCAAATTTGAATGGGGTTAACAAAAATATCCGTTCTCTTATAAAATGTAATTGCTACTTTTCATTTGTTTGGACTAACATATCTATGTGAAAAAAATTTAGTCTGCATTAAGAGTTAGTCTTTCAATCTTTTACAAAATCTGGATTGTATTGGTTTATGCAAAGAATGTTCTATCTTACATTAAACATAAAGTCAAACATTTTCTTACTGAGTCTTTCAATAAGTATTAACAAAACTGTTATAGAATTCATGTGAAGTTTTACCTTATATTGACAAACTTAGGGATTATAAAATATCTTTTTAGCTTCTAAGAAATGCTAGTGAAATTATTCTGTTTGCTAAGCTTAGTTTTTAAGTTCTGGGAAATTGGGCTGAAATTGATTCCTTTTGTCAAAAATATGAATGCATTTTTTTTTTTCCTTTAATTCTTGCTCAATGAAATCTTTTTTTCTTTTTTTTTTTCTTTCATCTACTATTTAATAAATGTTCTTGCCTTTTAGGTTTGTCTTTTAATATATCTGCAAGGTACTTGAATATTCCTATTAAGTTATAACAGTGTTGTCCATTTTATGAGTACAAAAGATCTTAGAAATAGTTTTCCCTTTAGTGGCCTGAACTAAAATGGTTATAGGTGAACCTCTTTCTCCACCACACATGCACACACACCTCAAACCATATAATAATTATCAATGTATATATTTATTTTTGATGTCCCCTTTGTAGTGGGAAAGGAGGTAAATCAATTTAAGTTAGTAAATTTATGAGTGATTACTTCCCTTAGTCATTTTAATAATCTATACAAATAAAATATTTATCTGCATTGAGACAAAATTACTTCCTGGGGTGGAAAAAATGAACCCTTTAATTAATCAGTTCTTTTCTTCCTATGTTTCTTTGATTGCAGTCTTATTTGTTGAAGCCTTTCATGTGAGTCACTCATATTGTTGTTTATTAAGTGATCCTCATGCTTCGTCTTTGTATTGAAATAGGCTTTGTCGTTCTGTTGATAATCTTTTTCTTCTGAGAAGTATTTCCATTTCACTGTTATATTAACACTCTTTTCTTTCTTTTTTTTTTCTTTTTTTTTACATGAAAAGATAAGCAAAAAGTGATTTATATATGTGATATTATATTTATATAATGCCACAAGTAATTGATGAATCATAGATACCATTGAAACATTGAAATTCTTAAAAAAAAAAAAAATTTAAAGGGAAAGGATTAATTAAATGGTTCATTGGCCTCATATTTGCGTTGTGAATTCTTTATTGAATCTCAATACATTGTTTCAAAACTTGTTTCCTTGCATCTCACTATTAAATCTTTCTGACAATTGGTGTCTGTCTCCTTTTTTTTTTAAGGGATACACTAGTGTGTGTGTGTAATTATTGCCCAGTATATTTGTTTTGAGGATCTTCCCCCACCACTCTGTTAAGTGCCATATGTGATACACACTTGAGTGTTCATGTATCTTTCGATACATGACTGACAAGGCATATTTTTCACGCAGTAGGTTGTCATTTCTTTCAGCGGTAGACTGGTTGCCAACCAAGGCTAAAGAACCCACTTTATCCTGCTATTCAACCTGTAGCTGCGGGAAAAGAGATGGATTCATACCTTTCCCAAGCGTATTTGTGCGCAAGTAAATGTAATGAACTTGACTGGAATTTGAACTCTGCTCTCCGAGTTCTCACTCTAAGCCGATATCAATTACACCGCAATGCACATCCCCACCACATAATTGTAATTGTTTACTGTGTTGGAATTCTGTCCTTATTTCCAAATGATTTAACATTAAAAGTTGTTTTGTCTATTGTACAGTTTGAATTTTAGAATTGAGCATCACTGATAGGTTATCATATTAATCAACTAACCGTTCTTTGTTACTAGAAAATAAAGAAATATTTACTTGTGGGTTGCTATTTGCTAGAATCATATAGACATAATATTCAACTTTTGTTTTTCTTATTGACATCGATATTAATTCTCAGAAAACTGAAGGTTGTTGATACTTCTTTACTCTCCACTGTATGAAAAATTGACTTCATTATATACCAATTAAAATCTAATTGATATTGATGCTTTGAGTTTGTTTTTTTTTTTTTTGATTATTCAAACATTTGCCACTATTTGCTAGTATCTTGACATCACATTAAAGTTTGTTTTGTTTTTTTTTATTATTCATAGAATAAGCAACACTCTAAATAAGAATTTGCATTAGAAATTTAGCTTTTTTTTCTTTGTTTTTTTTGTTGTCGTCTCCTCCATAGTGTTGAAGACCTACCTAAAGATTTGTTTACAGGAATTTTCAGTTCATGCATGGAGGACTCCTATGATTGATTTGTGTGTGTCAATAAGAGTTGTATTTCAGTTTTGTATTTTACTTGGGTCTTTTTACAAATGTCTGTTTAACCTGTTGTAAGAGCATTAAATATTCTTAAAACCGTTCATGTTTGGTTTGGTTTATTTTGTTAACGTCTTACCCAGGACAACTTAAAACTGTTCAAAATATTTTATATGGATCAGTAACAATAATTAGGGTGCACTTTACATGACAAAAGCCATATTTATGAATGACCTTTATTAAATAATTTTCATTTTTATTGAAGCTTCTAAATTATATAGATAAAACTTGTTTTTAAAATTTTTCAGGGAAAAATTTCTTAAAAACAATTTCAGCTTACCAATTATATTTTAAAAATAAATTTAGGTAGTTTGTATTAAAATTGTTTAATTTATTATCCCCCATATATGCAAGCATATGTGCCATATTTAATATTATGTAACAATAATTTGTTGTTAACACTATTGCTGGCTAATTTAGTAAAGTGAACAAAGAATATCTTTTCTACAAGCTCAGTAGAAACAAAACAATAAATTAATACTGTTTCTTTTGTTATGTTACCATTGCAAAAAGAATTGAAACCTTGCTATGTAATTCATATATTTGTCATTTTATAATATTGTATTGACACAATATATGGAAAATACATCTTATCTAACAACTTGTTGAAAACAAATGTTTGTTTTTTGTTTGTTGTTTTTTTTTTTTTTTTAATTTTGAGCTATTTATTTTGTTCATATTGACCTTGTCTGTCAGTATTAGAAGACTGACTTTGTATAAAAAAAAAAAAAAATCAAACTAAAATTTTATACATTTGATATTTCTAAATAGGAACTTGTCTTAAAACAATATTGCACAACATTATAAGATAATACTGACATATTCACATGTGACACTAAAGAGATTTGTTGCTGATTGCTGTATTATAGTCATCAGCCAGAATAGGTACTTTATGTAGAAAACATTTTGCTTTTTCTTTTTTTGCATAGACTCTTTACAAACTTATTGGTTCTGCTTTAATATTAAACTATTAATAATTCACTAGAAACTGTTTTATATTTTGTGCAAATTTGTTAAAGATTTTAAATTATATTTGTATTGTAATTTTTTTTTTTAATTTCTTATTTTTGTACCCATGTGTCACTGGATTATGAGACATTGGTAATTGTGAGGTTGAGCTGATTATTCAGATATTTTTAACATCAGCATTTTTTATGTTGGCTAGTTCATATTAAACTTCAATTGTGAACAGCCTTTTATCATATTAGGGACCTTTCAAGCTGATTGTATTATGTTTATTATCCTAATACCTTACTCCTACCTTTTTTTTTCTCTCTTCCACCAAAGAAGCTTCAAAATCTTTTAATACATTTAGTACAACCAAAATTAAAATTATAGAAAACAAATATTATCAATAAGGAGCTTGTAAACAGATGTCTGAGATGCAGTACACTGTCAGTGTAGGCTTGAATCACTTTGCCTAAATATGGTTTTTGATTCAATGAATTTTTACAGATCAATTATTGTCAATATTCCAGCTATTCATAATAATTTTTTTTGGATCTCACTAAACTCTTGGCTACCCCCCACTTCCAGTAGATTTTGTTTCAGTTGATGTTAAAGGCTCTTCTGGAAAATCTTACTCTTTTAAATACAGACTGATATTCCTAAATTATGTAAAAACTCATTTTCTTGACTGACTTTTTCCTAAGGTTCTTGTAAAATGTTCAAAGTTCTGATGTGCATCTTCCATCAAAAGTTTTTCTAATTCAATTAATTTATTTTCTTCACTATTTTTAAAGTGTATACAAACACAAGTAATAAAAAGCTGAATAAACTGAGAAAACAAAAAACAAAAAACAAACACTTCTTAGATTTCCCTAACATTGAACTAAAAATGAGCTGTAAAATTTTGCATTGGCCTAATGTCTTCATATTTTTGTAATATTTCTGATTTACTGTAATGCTTGGGATGTCTGGAAAAACATATTTTCTAATTTTTGTCGGCAAAGGTTGCACAATTTCATTTTTGTTCATTTTTACTTAATTATATGAAAAAAAGCCTATAAAATTAACTTATGTTCAGAAATTTGAGTATTTTAATGAAGTTTATTTTTTGCACTATTTTTCACCTCTTTTCTATTTGAGAAATATGTGTACATAGCACTGCCTTTGGTTTGTTGTTCCAGTTTTATTTGCAGGCAACTACTCTAGGAAATGACAAAACCTCATGAATCCTGGAGTTGTCAAATGCTTGTGTTTCACTGCTCAGTCATGGAATGTTTACTTGAACACATTTATCCACTCAATATCACACACACAATGTTTGATTATAAATAAAAGCCATTAACTCCTTAGAAATTGCTAATTTTATTTTTGTATTCAAAACAGATGTGCATTTCTTAATTGGGGAACTTGAACCTTGCTTATTAAAAAGTTCTTATAATCAATTGATGATATCTACTGATGTCCAATTTTTAAGGGTCAAAAAGAATTATAAACAGGATAAAATATGTGCTATATATGAGGGGTTGCTGATGTTTTCAAGCTATTGATTTTTTTTTCTTCCTCTCTTTACAGGTTGTGTTCTCAGCATCTTCTGTGTGTATGAGAGAGAAAATTTAAATTTATAGCATTTAGTAAAATCAGCTATATTTTCTAAACAACCTAAATTTTTTTTAGAAGTTTATTTTTAGGTATAACAATTTTTCTTTATCTTAGTATTTTATTTTGTGTGCTTAATTATTTCTGTTCAGCCTTACATTGTTTAGGGTATCTCTTTACTAACATTTCTGAACTTGTGTTGCATGAGTAACATTAAGCCCTCTTCAACTTGCCTCTCCAGAAGTATATGACCCTATTCACAGTGGACTGTGGTATGTATGCTGCCTGCTTACCTGACACTAAAGGAATGCATTATACTACCAGGGATTTACTCAGAATAGTGTTAACTGCAATATTCCACTTGGCTGCTTATAACTTCATCACCTACCCCCCTCTTCCTCCTCATATCTCTCTCTCCCCATCCTACATTCATCAATCTCTTGATGAAATAGTTATTTTTATCCCCACACATGATTAGTTTAAGTAATATTTCAAAGTTTTTGAACTTCTAAGATGTTTTTTTTTTTCTTTTAAATATTATGTTATCTTCATTTAAGATCTTTATTAACATGAAATGTACATTGTAACATGTATCTAATTAAAAATTTTTTTCTAAGGGGTTTCATGTTGTTGGCCCTAGATCATTTTCTTAAATGCCTTAAAACTATGACTGTATCATAGATATTATTATCAGAATTAAATTAACATAAAAATATAAACTAATATAAGATGCTCATGGGAATGTTAAATCACTTGTTACTAGAGATGAAAAGTTGACTGACAACATTGATATTACTTACTTTAGTGCATTGCAGCAATGATCTCCATTTAGATGGACTATAGTTTAATTTTATAGATTGAAAGAATTATTATATTAAATTATACTTAAATTTAAATTTTTTTTTTAATACCCTTCCCTCAATATTAATCTTTTTATTAATCTAGTGATTCTCAGGCTACATTCTATTTAGGATTCTAATATTTCATGTTCATCCTAAATTGGATTAATGCTTCTCTCTATAATTGAAATAAATGGTCAGTGTCATTGCAAAATTGTTTAAAAAAAAATCAGATCTGATTGAAATTATAAAAATCATATTATGGCTGGGTTTTCATTCAAATGTACTCCTTGATGAGACACATTCTGGCTGGACTCCATCAACTGGGCATTTACTGTTGATTTGTAAGGAAGCCTAACCTGGTGGTTAGCACTGTTAACAGATATATCTTTATTTAAAGATTCTCTCTCTCTCTGTCCTCTTTATTAACATCAATCAACTTCTTTTGTTATGCAAAGTTCAAAGCTGTTTTGTTGCATTAATATTTTATTTTTTCAAAATGAGAATTTTACTGCTAGGTTTCCAGCTCACATTTTAAACTGTAGTCAACAGGATAGTCATTCATTCTTATACAAAATATTTTAATATTTGGTCACATGTCTTGATTACATTCTGTACTTTGTGATACATTTTTTTCATTAGGTTTTGCTTTTTCAAGTTAATTACTTCTATTTTCCAGATTGAAATCTTGTAATAAATTCATTTTAATTTACACCTTATTTGTTCATTAATTCTTAAAGAGCAGTAAGATATGCTGCAGTGTTGGAATATTTTGAAATGGCTTTTCTTTTCTGTTAGGAAATTAGCCATCAATATCAACTGTCTCCATTTCAAGAAGGAAGCTTCTGTTGATATGTAAGGCCTTTACTTGATCTACTAACAAATTATTATTGTTGATGAGTGTTTATGTAGGCAAAGGAGTATAAAGGAATAAGTTTGAAGTGGAATTGTTTTTTTTTTTTTTTACTGTCCCCACCCATTCTTGTGACTAGAGAGTAAATCACTTGTGCTATCAACTGCTGTCATGTCCATTCCATTTTTTTTTTTTTTTAATATTCAGTGATTCATTTGCAGGGAATGGGGAAAGTTTAGTTGCTTGGTCCTAAATTAACATCTTGTAAATATACACTTACTCATAATATTAAAGTGTGTGTATAATAACTGCTGGGCAGAAAAGAGAACAAAAAGCTTTTAAGATTTATAATCATACCAAGTGTACACTGGTATGCAAAAGTGTTGGGCCAACTACATAAAATGATTATAAACCTTTTTAAGAAGATTCTTTAACAGTACACTTTTTATTTATTTATTTTTTCTTTTTGACCTTGAAAATAAAAAAATGTGTTGCATTTTTGGAGGTGCTGTGTAACCTGGGAAAAAAATACTGTGCGAATAGATTGGGTCAAAGAAAGATCTGAGATGATAGTCATGGCATTGTGCAAAGTTCTTAGTATGAATTATTCCATCTTATTAACATGAGTGTAAGGTGACTTGGCAAATCGTTGCAGTTGATCATTTGGATTTTTACACTAAAATCATGACTAAAATTTCTACTGAAAGATGAAGGTTGTAAATTTGAAGGGGAAGAGGAATTGATGAGAGATAACCAAGGGGCTGAGAATTTTCAGAAACCATGTTCAAAGTATCAAGATATTTTCTATTACTGTGTTTTAAGTGCAAAGAAAACCAGACGACCATAAAAGTTTGACAAGATAAATGAAAGAAAGATTGTGACAAAGTTGGTAAAATTTCATGGTGAACATGGAATGATATGGAATTGCATCAAAAGAAAATAAGGTAGAAGAAAATTGGTAAAAGTTGATAGAAACCTAAACTATATTTTACTACGGTCTAATCTTCTACCAGACTGAAGATGGAGAAATTTGACATGTATAACAAAAAGGTTTCTTGTGGGTGAATATGTTCAACTTTTGAGAAACTAGCCAGTACACGATCCGGATCTAAATATAATTGGGAACTGAAGAAACTAGTGCTCCAAAGAAAATCACATAATCTACAAAGAGCTTTGGGATTACTGCCAAGAAGAAAGGGGGCGGGGGGATGCCCAATGTGAAAATCTGAACCTTGTTCCATTCAATGTCCCATTGAATTGGGGCAATTATTCAAGCCAAACACAGCAGCAATAATTACATAATTTGACGTTCTGTACTTTCTCTAAAAATAAAGATCACTTTTTGCAAAAAAAAAAAAAAAAAATTTTCTTAAGAGCTGGGAGGTGAAATTTCTGCTGGTATCCCAGTATTTTTGCATGGCCTTTTTTCAGCATCACTATGCTCAAGATACTCTTTTCATCTACCAAGTGTTAACAAAAATGCAATAACTTGTTTTCTGGTCCTCAAAGATCATAAAATGTACCGAGAAAAGAATACTAGCTAATCACTGTCAATTTTGGGTTAAACTTAAAGTAATTAATTTACCAAGGTGGTCCAAAATGTTTTGCACACTAGTGTAGAAATTTGACCATATAGTAACTGAAGTTTCCTTACAAATTGTTAAAGCTAAACTCAAAGTACTACTAAAATTTGTAATTAAAACAAGTAAAATTCTAATTAAAAAAAGTGGGAGGTAAAAATATTGTGTATGAATTGGGTTAAAAAAAAACAAAAACAATGAATACATTTTGAGTATACAATATACAGGGTGATTGAAATGTATGTATGATGGACTCTCCTATCTCACTATAATTTTTACAAGACTGGAAAGTCTATCATATATAAAATATTGAGTTACTTTTCAATCACCCTGTAGAATAGGTTTTTATCTTTTACAAGTGATTGCCAAAAAATTCTTGATCTGGTCTACTTTTCAATATCTGACCAAATTACCTTTTTTTTTAATAGACCTTTTTTTTTTTTTTTTTTTTTTTTTGTGTGTGTGGAGCAGAAAACTTTTCAGTTCTATTCATAGATCAAAACTAGTTTTTCATAACCATTAAAGCTATTCTAAAAGAATTGATTTAAGTACAGAGCAATAATTATAATCTAATTAAAGTTATTATCTGCTGTTACTTCACTAAATTAATCTGGTTAATATTTGTGAGGTTTCCACATTCACTACAATTATTAAAACTATCTATTTAGTTCTAAATTTTTATTTATTGAAATTTCAGTTCTTAATAATGCTACAGTAGTTTTTTTTTTTTTTTAGTTTTTTTTTATTGAAATATCAAATGGTTACAATATTTGTACAGGAAGCAGCACAGTTTAATTTCCAGTGATTGCTTAGTGCAGAAAATATTTTAAGAGTGTGTAATAGAAAAAAATGAAACCTGGAATCCTGTTTAATAAACTTAATATAACTTCTAATTGATAATAATGACCTTTACTTACAGGTTGGTGTTATATTCATATCTTATAAAGAAAAATGTCTTTTTCTTTTATGTAATTGACAAAAAGTGCAAAAATTATCAATTAAGTTTGTAAACAATTGTATATATTTTTGTCCCTCTGACCTTAAAATGTGAATTTTATTCATTTTTTTTGTTATTGCAGCAATCACCATGGGAGTATTTTTAATTAAAATC